GGTTAGTGCTTCAAACTCATATTTCACCGAGTGAATGCTGACTACTGAAATTTACGGCTTGTATTTCTACAGTAGCCTTACATCTACAGTAGCCTTACAGCCACCTCTGCAAGCTTTAGCCTGAGCCTTAGCCTGAGCCTTAGCCTGAGCCTGAGCCTGAGCCTTAGCCTGAGCCTGAGCCTGAGCCTGAGCAATCCTTACAACTACCGTAGCCTGCAATCAACGTACTATAAGAACTACAGTACTCTCTACTGTAACCTTTATAGTAATCGCTGTTTCAGATGTAGTTACAGACTGTAGCTGGTTTGTTTAAATCCCAATGCTAACCCAAGCCAATTGAAAGTCGTTGACTTTTTTTCTTGGCTTAGATTGACTTGACTTGGCTTTTTGCTCCACCCCTGGCTACAGTACTAGTCTACTAACCTCCACCTGCAACAACTGCGTTCCCTATATTCTCTAAGTAGCTACAGTATCTCTACAGTACTCCACAGTAATCCCATTTTTCCTCTTCGAAAACTGATCAGACAAATCAACCGCGACAATCAACTAAACGTTCACCTCTTCCGTGACATCACCATCACCACAAAAATGTTTTCTTTTTCTAGGAGAAAGCCGGAATATTATAGAACGCAAACATCTCTTTTTCCTCTTCCGATCATTTTTCTTTCTCATTCGATTCAACCTGTGCGCACCAAGTGCCTTTTTCTTCTTTTTCTTTTGCCAAAAACGGTAGCACTTACAATCGTTTTTACGCAATGAATGCATGACTATCCAGGCGATTTTTTTTTTCATCTAAACAATTTTGTTTTCCAATTTTGCAGTTTCTTTTTGAGTTGATCTGTTTTTAAAATGGGCTCACTTGATTTCTTGCTTCAGTTTTTTTATTATTTTATAACTTTTAAATAACTTTCTTACCACACTTATAAAATCTTTCAATATTTTTCAATTTTTCAATAGATTTGAGACCGCGGGGAACTCATTTCCAAAGAAGCTACAATTGTTTTCCTGTATTTTTTCTCTTCTTAGCTGAGATCAGGCTAAACCAGGTCAGAAGGCAAGGTCTAGAACTGCTTTCTGGCATGTTCAAGGATTTTTGTTTGACCGGCTGGTTTTGGCAAGATTTTGGCCTAACAATGGGTCTTATTCTAGCCTCTTGATCAGGAAAAATTGCTTTTAGAACAACTTTGATCGTCTCTATTTCTTTATTTTTGACTCAAATCAAAAAAATAATTTCATTGCATATAGGCAAATTTGAAACGTCTTTACCTGAAGTCTGTTTTCGGGGAGAGGGCTGACCTTGAGGGTTTAGGAAAGGATGGATTGAAGGAGTCAATGAAAAGAAAAGAACAGGAAGAAAGAAAGAAAGAAAGAAAGAAAGAAAGAAAGAAAGAAAGGAAGAAAGAAAGGAATAAATGAGGATTGAGAAAACGAAGGAGGGAAAACCTTCAAAAAGATTCACACAAAAGTAACCGTTTATGTATCCTTTTCTTTTTTGATCTCTTCCGGTTTCGATACAATCACACTTCTATCAATTGGAGTGTACTTGACGACAATGAGTTGACCTTATTGACTATAGTTGACTGGGCTGTATTAGCCAATGGTTTGTAGATTTATGTTCCGTTTATGTTTGCAATTCTATGACACAACTGCTGACATTGTTTTCTATGAGATTCTTGCTCCATAACTTCAAACTCAAACGTAACTTATCTCGTCATTTCAGCTTTAACAATTACCATATAATATTTAAGCAGTAACTTGTCTTTTCAATAGAAAATAAGTTAACGTTTCAATAGAAAAATTTAACAAAAAAAAGTCCGATCGGTAAATAAGTTGATCGTCATTGTATGCGTCATTTTATCGCCATTTTATCGTCTGTTGCCAGAAATAGCCGTCTGTTGCCAGTTGCCACTTCTTCATTTCTTTTGTCAGATTGTTAATAATCGGCAAACATACTTACAATTAATATAAAAAAAAAATAGCAGAATCTCTTTAAACAATTGTAAGTCTGTTTGCTCATCATTAACAATCTCTCAGACAAATTGGTGACAAATAGAAATGGAGCATGACGGACCGCTTCTCTCAACGATTTCTCGGTTCAGGTTCATTTCATTTCATAAGACTCAATCTTTTCCCCTTTCCCCTTTTAGTCTTTTCTTTCTTTTAAAAGCATTCGTGCACCATGTCCCACCACTGTTTGCATACCATTGATGGGGTACGCGAGAGGAACCTATGCTCTATCCACTCATTCCCATTCCACCACCATTCCTCTCTTTCTTAGACTTTCTTTTGTTTATGTCTCTAAGGATCAGATATTGATTTCGTTTCTGTATTTTGAGATTTCGACCTTGGGAAGTGTTCAGGGCTTTAGGGCCTTTAGGCTAAGCCTGTAGGTTAAGCCTGTGGGCCAAGTCTGTAGGCCAAGCCTGTAGCCTGTGAGCAAAGCCTTTAGGCCAAGCCTGTAAGCCAAGCCTGTAAGCCAAGCCTGTAAGCCAAGCCTTTAGGCCAAACCTGTAAGCCAAGCCTATAAGCCAAGCCTGGATATCAATCCGTTGCAAATCGTTTAAAGTTTAAAATATTCTGATCTAGAATTTTTCAACTTTAATCTTTCATAGAGTTTGTGTTTTGTTATTTTGTTTATTTGTTTGATTTTTTTGTTTTATTCTTCTCAAATCTTCTCTCGATTTACTCCCAAATCTTTTTTCTATCCACAACAATCAAGTCTTTTGAATTAAAGAGTCAATGTTGAAAACGAGTTTTCTTTTCTGTTCTGTTCTCTTCTGTTTTGTTCGTTTTTTGCTCTGTTGTATCAAAAGCTTCTCGTTTTCTTTTCTCAAAGTCAAATAGTACAATGAAGGTGAGGAATGGGTGAGAATGATAGATCCGGCATCACTTTTCCCTATCTATTCTCAAATCTATAATACTTTAGGTGATTATTCACTTATTTTTATAGATTTTATGTAGATTCACATCTAAATTTGAGCTTGTCAAAGTCTAACTCGTTTTCGTTCTGAACTTGCGAATGGACTTGCGAATGGACTTGCGAATGCACTAGCGAATGCACTTGCGCAACGTTTATCAATAAGTTGAAAACTTATAGACTACTAGCCAAAGAAGCTTTCATTATTCATTTCGTTGATGATCTTTTCGTTATTTCAAAATCTTTAAACTAGTTGATAGTTTCTATCAAATCAAGAAAAAGGCTCAACTCTGACTTTCCCCTAATCATTAATCTTTTCCCATCTCCCCAAAAACCATCTTCATTTTCATATTGACCTGAATCAGGTCAGATTTCAGCCTCAAAAAAAAGCACACTGGTTGATCCCTTGATCGAAATCTCATTTTATAAAAAGTGAAGCAGGCGGTTCTCTAAAAGAAAAGACAAAAGAGATCTCCTAGATGGATTGAAGGAAGAAATCCATTAGAGAAAAACCAAACCTGAAGAAAAAAGGGAAAAAGGGGAAAGTCTAAAGAGAAAAATGGAGGGAAGACGCGTACGTTTTGTCTGTAGCCACGCTGTAAAAGGGAAAAGGGAAAAGGGAAAAAGAGAAGAGATGGGGTGGAGGGGAAGAGATGCGATGGGGTGGAGGGAAGGGGTGAGCCTGTGCACCGGTGACTCTCCATTTCGAGAGCCCCTCCCCATGAGCTCCTCATTTTTCTTCACCATCACTCTTTTACAAAAACTGGCTACACTTTAAAATCCCTAAGTAATTGTTAACTAGATTCGAGCTAGATACTTGTGCTTCGTGAAATTGAAATTTGAAGTGAATTTGAAGTGAATTTTTCCTTTTCCCTTTTCCAATCTTTGATCACATCTGTGCCTTTTCTCAGTTTTTATAAAATACCGTAATAATTCTAATAGAAGACCATGGTCTTCTAATTTTCAACCCCTTCCCCAAAGGGTCTTCTAATAGGGACTGGTCTTCTATTTTTCAACCTCCCTTCAAAAGGGTCTTCTATTGGAGACTGATCTTCTAATAGAGACTGGTCTTCTATTAGAATTATTACGGTAGTTATTTTCAAAAGAAATTTATTGTCTATATTGTCTATATTGTTTTCTTTTTCTTTTTATTGAAATATTCTTTGTTTCAAATCAAATTGATGATTTGATTTGATTTTTCAAGTCTGAAATGTCTGAAATCATACTAAAAAGAGTTGTACCAATTTTCTCATAGCTTACCTTAAAAGAACTCATTTTTTACAGTTAAATTTCCCAATTACTATAGACTATAGCTATAGAAAAAGCTATAAAAGCTATAAAAGCTATAAAAGCTTACAAATTTATTACATTATATATATACTTTATCCGACAAGGAAAAGTGACAATGCAAACAGATTGAACAGCGTAGACGAAGAAAGATAATTGATATACAAACACAACTACAATTAGACACGTGTATATATGACATTAAAAACTAATTTAAAATTGACAGAGCTACAAGATCGAGCTTATATATTGAGGATTTAAAATAGTTCAGAGACGAAAAAATATCACAAGGTAACTTGATTAACTTGATTAATTAAAAAAAAATAGATAAAGGTTACTTACAAGATCAAACATTATTGTAAAGCATAAAAATTGTCAATCACTGTCATTATTCGTCACATCTGTTTCCCCTAGTTGTTCTCAAAAATTAAAGAGAACCATATGGAGAAGCATCCAATTTTTCGCATCATTCAGCATCTGCATAATTTGAGTGACAGTGAACAAAGCGTGAAATAACAGCTTGACACTTTTCTGCTTGACTTTACTGCTTGACTCTTCACACTTGACACTTTTCTTTACTCAACTTTCTGTCAATTGATTGATGGCTGTCAATTGATTTCAATTTTTTCAGTTTTTTCTTTGTGATCTACTTTGTGCTCCCCTGTTAATGCATCCTTGCTGGGGCACTTTTTCACCAAGAGAATGAATTGTTACTCAAGATGTTAGTTACCCAAGATGTCCATAAACTGTTGGGTAACTAAACCGACGGATTCTAAGCCGAGTCAGTGGGGAGTTATCCAATAACTTCAATCGGATCGGCTGAATCGGCTTTAATCGGATCGGCTGGATCGGCTGGATCGGCTGGATCGGCTGGATCGGCTGGATCGGCTGGATCGGCTGGATCGGCTGGATCGGCTGGATCGGCTGGATCGGCTTCAATCGGATCGGCTGGATCGGCTGGATCGGCTTCAATCGGATCAGCTGGATAACTGCCCCACTGACTCGGCTTAGAATCCGTCGGTTTAGTTACCCAACAATTTATGGACATCTTGGGTAACTAAACCAATTCATTTTTATCGTTGAGCGTTGAGAGTTAAGCGTTCAACTTGTTTCTAAATTTCCTACATTAATAAATAAATGAAAATTACTATGACAAGCTTTACAGTCAAAAGAAAACCCTTTCTAACACCTAGAAGTTAACTGTTTCCTTTCATTGTTGATTTCGAAAATAATAAAGGTGTGAAAGACACGAGAAACTAGTACTAGAACTAGTACCACCCGTTCCTAATGACCTCAAAAATTGAGGTCAATGGAAAAGAGAAAGAGAGCAGTACTATGCGACTATGTATTTGGTTGTTGTTCACAAAAAGAGAAGAACTAAGAACTTTTCATTCCGTTCCGACGGGTTTTGAGTTTCTTTTCTCTTTCACAGAAGCTCTTTGGGTCAAATCGGAAGCTGAATGAAAGAAAGAAAGAAAGAAGAAAGCGGTAAAGCTGGGAAACGGGCGCCTGCTCAAATAACTTCTCACCAAATACGGGCCTTCCCCACAGAACATCCCTAAGGATAAAGAGAAAAGAAAACAAACAATGAGTGTCGACCATTTTCTAAAAACTTCGTTACTCAATGAGTTTTTAAGAAGTAAAAAGAATTCTTGGTTCTGAATTCTGAAATTCTGAAAGTACTGCTTTTACAAGTACAACTTTCCTACTTGTTTTTTTGGAGTAAATTTGGATAATTTTGTCAAGAGGGTTTAGTTTTACATGAATTTCTTTTTCTATATTCTAAATCACAATCACAATCCCTCTTTGAATCTTTATGAGTCAAATGTTTTAAATTCTCCTTCCCAAAAAGTGACCTTGTCCCATAAAAAGTCCCCTCCCTTCCTCCATCTCTTTCACAAAACCACAAATTCTTCCTGAACTCTAGCACAATACGTTTACTACTTTAAAATTTGTTTATTATTTTGTTTATTTTGATTTCTTTTAGATTTTATAGAAAATAGTCTCTTCCACCAATTCTTCATTGATATTCTCGACATTCTGATTTCACTCAACAACATTTCTTCGAGCATTTCTTTGAACATTTCTTTGAAAACTTTTCTAACAAAGAAATCATCTTATTTTTTTAAAACACTTATACTATTTAGCTACTTTAAATTTAAATAACAAAGTAGCTAAATATACAATTGTAATTATAATTTTAAACCTAGACTGTTGACTACCAAAGCTTAAACAAATGACCTCATCACTTTGTTGACCTCATTACTTTGTCGACCTCATCACTTTGGTTCCCCCCTTTCATCCATGATTATCTTGTACTTAGCATTGGTTCAACTTCCCAAATCCGTGGGTGTTCACACGGTGGAAGCTCTGTGAAGAATCTGTCATGTTTCGTCAAAAGAGAATCGGGAGATTAATGGAAAGATTGAGAAAAATGGAAAAGAGAAAAGCCTTGCGCACACGCGTCCGTTTCTCTTTTCTTTAAGTCTTTAGTGTCTTTTCTCTTTTTTTTTTCAAGTCGAGAGCCTAGATCGGAAGGCTGGGAAGGGGATGGTCGTCGGCACTCTCGTTTCCCCTCCCATCTTCCGAAAATCTCTTTTCCTGCCCATCACCAAACACAAATTGATTGCCCGATTTTAGTCTTCATTTACTAATCAATGATTAACACTTTGATTTCTCAACTTTAACTTATTTTTGTTTCATTCTTTTATAGAAAATCATTGGCTTTAATTAAATTGTTAAACAATTTCATTGTTTAAGATTAAATTATAAGATTTCGATAAAACGTTTACTTTCAGATACTTAAACGCTTTTGATTTCGCTCTGTTTGCTTTCAAAGTACTACCGCATTCTCTCTAATAGTAGTGCACCCTGAGCGTTGCCTAAATTCCTCAAGATCTCGAAAAGCGCTTATCAGAACCTATCGATGTGGGGTCGGAAAATGTAGCTTAGGATGAGATCTTGTGGGGGATTTGAGTGTTGAGCTTCTGCGAAAACTTAGAAACCGTAAAATAGTCATTAACTCGGCGGGGTGCACTACTATTAGAATACGGAATATATTATCCAGATCCTTGACACTTTTCCTTCAAATCTCACTCGCTCTGATTTTTTGTGCTTAGTGATTATCTTTAGTGATTTTTTTTTTCTTTTAGCCACACTTTTCTTCTTTTCAATGATGAAGTTTTTCATCATTGAAAGTTTCAATGATGACTTAATGAATGTTATACTGCGATAGTAAAGAAAAGTTAGTAAAGAAAGTAAACAAAAGCCAAAAGCCAAAAGGCAAAAGCCAAAAGCAACTTTACTTGTGATACCAAAAAAGGCTTCCAAATGTTCAAAGGTAATATTTGTTTGATTATTGTTTGTCGATTCAAAGAGTTAACACGATGAATCACAAGGAAGAGCAAGGGGAAATCGACAAATGAGGAAGTCGACGATTTCAAAAGCCAAAAGCTAAAAGCAACTTTACTTGTGATACCAAAAAAAGGCTTCCAAATGTTCAAAGGTAAAGGAAATCGGCAATCTTCCCCTTCAATTCCACCAATTGAAGGGGAAGAGTTGGAGAATCGGGGATTCGCGACAAACATCCAACAATCTCTTTCCTTTTCTTTTCTTTCCTTTTCTTTCCTTTTCTTCTCTCTTCTTTTGCATGTGTTCGGATTTCTGTGGAGAATTAGGGGAAGAGATTTGTCGGTAAAAGAAAGAGAATACAGGGCAATCACACGCACAATTTCGTCTCTTTTCTTCACTTTCTTTTTTTGGAATATTGAGCGAAGATGATCAACGAATCGTCAAAGTCAAATGTTAGATCAATATGATTTATTTCAATTCAAAAATCCCCTTTTTCTATTCAATTTTACTGTTTTTGGTGAGTTCAAAATCACTAATTTACTCCTTTGGCTGTTTTTAGTGAGTTCAAAATCTCTAATTCCCTTTTTTTGTACAAATTTTTCAATTATATTTAATTGAAAACTTTATCAGAGAGTTTTCGACAAACTTCTAAAGGTTTTTATGCGAATTTTCGATGAAATATAGCTAGCTAATAGCTTCTAGTCAACTGTTTTCGTCTGTATTCACATTTCTGTACAATGTACAGTCTGTACTGTACAGAAATGTACATTTGAGGAAGTCGACGATTTCAAAAGCCAAAAGCTAAAAGCAACTTTACTTGTGATTCCAAAAAAAAAGGCTCCCAAAGGTTCAAAGGTAAAGGAAATCGACAATCTTCCCCTTCAATTCCACCAATGTACACTACAGACTGTACATTTCTTCAATTTTCTTCTCCAATAACTTTCTATTTCATAAATATTTCTTCGAATTTTTTATATAAATTCAAAGTTTCCTCGCGATTTTCCGCTTATGACTCAGACGATTTCTCCTACGATTTTTCTGAATAAAACCCTTTAAAATAGATCTCTTTTTTTGATTTCTCATTCGCCCAAATCAAAGTTTTGCTTAAAATTTTGATTTTTATTAAAAAAAGATTACCTAGAAAGCTATTAATTATAAGAAAAATCCGGGGGTGGGACAAAGGCAAAAACTGCGGAAAAGCGTTAAGTTGCGTGTGCCCAAATTTGACGTGTCAGCGAGTTCTAATTTGTCGAAATTCGGAATCTACGCATATGATTCCCCTATGTGGAAACATTTTTAAAGCTCTACGGCCTTTTCCAGCGAAAAAAAAAGGTGCGCTTTTGGTCGGGTGCGCAAAAAAAAGGTGCACCTTTGTCCCACCCCCAAAAATCCATCATTTTCTCTTTTCTATTATTTTTTTTTCAATCAAATTTCATTTCAATCATTCAATCATTCAAAATTTCAAAATTTCAAATAATTTTTTAAAATTAATATAATTATAACTCTCTTTTACAATCTACAGATTTTAAAAAAGCAAATTTTCACTTGTAAATTGAAAATTTAAAAGTGATAAAAGATTTTTAATGAAAACTGATCTCTTTTTCTCTTTTCTCTAAATTTCTCGAAAAAGGATCACTTTCTCTTTTCCTGTCTTCAGAACAGGGTAAAAAGAAAGCAAAATCGATAATGTAATGAGAATAAGAAGAGCAAAAGAGAGAACCTGTTAGGATTATCACATCAACATTCTTTTTCTCACCAATTCTATTCCTTATGTGTTGATGGAGTTCACGCTTGAATGCTTTCAAGATTCTAATGGAAGTGAGGAAAAGGATTATATGCATAATGGAGCAATTTGTTGTACTTGGACGTGTAAATCGAATCCTTGAATCATTGATAAGATTTATTTGAATCCCTGGCTTATTTGCTAGATTTCCGTAAGAACTGAAAAAAATGAAAATCGAGAGATGAGTGGATCAGAAAGGTAGAAAGAAAGATCAGAAAGTTATAGAGAAAGTCGGAAAGGTAGAAAGGAAGATCAGAAAGCTATAGAGAAAGTCGGAAAAGCAGAAAGAAAGATTAGAAAGTCAGAAAGGAAGATCAAAAAGTTATAGAGAAAGTCCGAAAGGCAGAAAGAAAGCTCAAAAAGTTATAGAAGTTAGAAACTCAGAAAGTCAGAAAGAAAGCTTAGAAAGTCAGAAAGAAAGATCAGAAAGTCAGAAAGAAAGCTTAGAAAGTTATAGAGAAAGATCAGAAAAGCAGAAAGGAAGATCAGCAAGTTATAAAGAAAGTTACAAAGAAAGATTAGAAAGTTTAAACAAATCCTAAAGTTCACCATAGACAAATTATAGTGGGGAAATAGTGGAAACAGCTAAAAAGCTGATTCAAAAACTTCTAGACTTCTAGCCTTTAAAACTATTGAATGTTTAGGTAAAAAGTATCGTATTTCAAATAAAAAAAAACTAGTTTCACACTAAAGAAACCCTTTTTTTCAAGTATTTTGTGGTAAATCACTGCTCAAAAAACCCGAGCTCAAGCTAATCCCCAAACAAATCGGCCGACCGATCAAGGCCGACACCGATTGACCTAGAAATTGGTGTTTGGCAATTTCAGAATTCAAATTTAAACTATTTACAAAGTATCTAGTATTCTAAAAGTTTAGAATTTTTAAAATTTCGAAGTTTAAAAGTTTTGTTTCAATTTTTTCTCTCCTCAATCCACCCCCGCATTTTCAGCGCCTCCTTGAACGCTCACCGGGAAATTGTGGCCAATTTTTCCCCCCCGAAACGTCAAAACACGATTTTTAGACAGGAAATGTTAGAGATTTCCTTTAGAATATGATATTTTTAACAAAAATTCGACTAATTTAACGATTTCATCAATCTTGAAAGTTTCTGAGCATTTTCAATCTGCAAAATCTGCAAAAATCTATTAAAAATTTACATAATGAAAGTTTTTGAAGCAAATTTTCTTTTATTTATCTTTTTTATGTTATTTTGCTATATTTCTTTTAAGATTAAAAGGGATTTTAGAGAAAAAAAATGGTTTTTAAACGCAAAAGGGCTCTATCGAGCTTCGGATCTGACCTCTAGAGAAGCTAGAAGTCAGATTCGGAGCTAGAGAAGCTAGAAGTCAGATTCGGAGCTAGAGAAGCTAGAGGTCAGATTCGGAGCTAGAGAAGCTAGAGGTCAGATTCGGAGCTAGAGAAGCTAGAGGTCAGATTCGGAGCTAGAGAAGCTCTCGGGTTCACTTTTCTTTCTAAGATTTTCTTGTTTAATCGACTTTCGATTTAATGATCCGTTCGGGATTAGAAATTTCGTTTTAACGATTCTAAAACGTGCCCTAAACGTAGCTGCCTTCTTGCGTAGCTGCTCTAAACGGCCAACGATTGCGTTTAGCTGCCCAGCTAAACCCAGAAAGCAAGAGCGTGTTTTAGAATTTCAAAATTGTTTTATCAAATTTACTTTTCATTTCTAAACTTACAATTAAATGTCTTTTGTATTTTAATGTACAGTATTTCATTTTAAATAGTAAAATGAAAAAAAAAAATTGAACTGATTTGATGATTGTACTGATTTGCTAAATAAAACTTACCAATGTAACGAGTCACTTCTGCATTTTAGCAAATAGTTTCCCTTTTTTAATGTATATTATTTCTTTCAGTTATTATTATTTCTTTCAGTTTCAGAAAACAAATACTATTTGATAAGTGAAAGTGATTCGAAAGTTATTGTAATCTTTCTACTTCACTTTTCTAAAACTTTTTACGAATGAAATACGAATTTATTCCTTGTTTTCAGAAGTTCGATCCTTTTTTGACGATGCTCAATCGATAGTTTCCGTTTTTTTCTTCTAAGAGTCGTCGATTCGTTTTTCTCTAAAACAACGATGAGTCGTCGCTCAATTCTTCACTTCATTTCCATATTTCTATTCATTTTACTTCTGAGGTTAGGATCAACAAATGCACAAGGTTTGATTTACAAAGGAATCCATTAAATATAGATATTAAAAATATGGATAGTACTACTATAAAAGTTCTTTAGAACAAAGTATACTTTGTGCTATAATAAACAAAAACGTTTACTTTCTAGTACACTTACTTTCTAGTACAATTCTTTTCTTTTTACTCAACCAAAAGTAAACCAACACTGGTAGAGTAAAGTAGAAATGGGGATCGAATCGATTTGATTTGATTTGATTTGATTCAAGGCTCATGTTTAGTGCAAAAGGATCTTTATCATCTTATTAAACTTATAAACTTAAAAGCATTAAAGCGATAAAGCTTATTAAAGCTTATTAAAGCTGATTAAAGCTTATTGAACATTATCGGAAATTCGAGGGCGAAGGCAATTTCATTTTAGATACTCCTCCAGTCGATCCGTCGACTGGAGGACCAAAAGAAAAAAACAGAAACTTTACTTCCTAATACACTGAAATTCTTTTCTTTTTACTCAACCAAAAATAAACCGTATACCGGGTAGATGGGAAAAGTGTAAAGTAGAAGGGGATCGAATCGATTTGATTTGATTTGATTCGAATTGATTTGATTTGATTTGATTCAAGGCTCATCTTTAGTGCAAAAGGATCTTTTTATCATCTTATCAAAGCTTATTAAAGCTTATTAAAGCTTATTAAAGCTTATTAAAGCTTATTAAAGCTTATCAAAGCTTATTAAAGCTTATTAAAGCTCATTGCACATTATCGGGAATTTGATAGAGACTGAAGTTGTAAATTTTCATTTTTAGATACTCCTCCGGTCGATCCGTCGGCTGGACTTGACCCTGGTGGACTAACTCTGCCTGAGCATTTTGTCATCAAAAAGGTGAGTCAAAAAAATGAGTTTATCAAGGATAAAATGGAATTATCAAGGATTGTATAGATTGTCAAATATACTATAGTATTGTAATGAATATATAATATTTATCTAATCTATAATCTATTATTAATCATCCTACAGGAACCGCGATCTCCGTGGTCTCAACTCGGCGTCACTCTACCAATGCACCGAACTGATTTCGAGCAATTCATCGCCAAAGTCGTTGACGTGACGGAAAAAGTGTAAGCTAGAAAAATAGAGATAAGATTATATATTAGATTAGATTATTTTTTTCTTAAATACCAAATCCTTTCAGCCCTCATAACCTTCGTGACGTGAATCGCACTTTTTTGGCGTCGGTTGAGGACGCATCGGTGATAAAAATTCACAATTTACATCCCGGACATAGATACAGGTAATAAATAAGATTTAGATAATAAAAGGTTAGATTTAGATAGATTTAGATATCATTATTCGTTTTAGCATAACGATAATTGGCCGACGATCGGATAGCTCGGAGAAGATCAAGAGCGAGCTGATCACTATGGATCCACAAGTGAGTGCAGCTCTGATTCTAAAGAGTGTACTGTAACCTGGTTGATGTTACAGTAGACTACAGTAGACCAGAGACTACAGTAGACCAGAGACTACAGTAGACCAGAGACTGCATTAGACCAGTAGACTACAGTAGACTACAGTAGACTACGGTAGACTACAGTAGACTACAGTAGACTACAGTAGACTACAGTAGACCAGAGACTACAGTAGACCAGATACTACAGTAGACTGCAGTAGACCAGGGACTACAGTAGACTACATTAGACGAGAGACTACAGTAGACTACAGTAGCCCAGAGACTACAGTAGACTACAATAGACCAGAGTTACTGTACCAGTTAATCAGTATGGGATACGGTAGCTACTTTTACAGTAAAGCTACAGTAAACTGGGCTTAATGGCTTACAGTATTTCAATAAATGAGTAATTCTTGAAAAATATAATGGATTAATATAACATTTTCCCATTTAGTCTCCAGAAATCGTGCTTGACAAAGATGTAACGATCACTGAAAACAACATCACTTTACGGGCCACGAAAACCAATAAAGCTGTTCAGGTTGGGTTTTTTATGTTAAAGAGATTTAAAGATGTTTTATATATAAATATCTTGTTTTTAGCTATTAGTAAAATCAAAGAAAACAAAGAAACAAAGAAAAGAAAATTTAAAGAAACAAAGAAAAGAACTTTAAACAAAGAAAATTTTTCTAGGACCTCTTCAGCATCGACTACATTCAGGTGGAACCCGAGGAACGCTTTTCGACACTAGAAGTACTGTTAAAATTATGAATTAAGGCTATTGAGAAAGTTTTAAATGCTAATTTATAAAGTTTTTGAATAAATATCGAATCCATTTAGGTACTCGACATTGCCGAGCAACAAGATTTGGAGATCTATTTGGGGAATTTGAACCCAGGACGGGAGTATCGGTTTGTTTAAAGCTACAGCAGTTTTTTTGGCTCTTCCGGGTTTTTTCTTGTGAAAGCCAAAACCAAAGCCAAAACCAGCTCGATTCTCTTGAAACAAAAGGGTTAGAATAAACTCCGTCAATAGATTCTACGACTCTGAAAACCCCGGGCACAAGCTTTTCACATAAATCTTATTTGGGAATCATTGGGAACAAAAAGAAATCACTGTGTAGGGACTGGCGAGGGGTTCTTTGTGCGGCCGCGTGGTCGCTCTCGATCTGGCACGCCTCCGATGCATAGCTCACCGTTTATTTTGAACCTTTGTCCCAAGAAAAGTGCCAAGAGAATCGGATCGGCTTTGAGTTTTGCATGATAGCTTTTCACAATGAAAAGAGCCGGATTTCCGCGAAGAATCTATTAAAAGATGAATCTATTTAAAAGATAATACATCTAAGCTATATAATATTATCTTTACTAACGGATTTCTTAAAATTTTCAGCATCAAAATCACCTCAGTCCGTGGCGGGTTGAAGAGTCGACCCTGGGAGGCAACACTGGCCACAAGTGAGATAAATCGATTGTAGAATTCAGTATTTATAAGCAAAATATTCGCTGATAGGTAATGAAAGATCTAAGATTTAATTTAGATTTAATTTAGATTTTAAAAAATACTTTAAAAATTTCTATAGAACCCGCACCTCCGTCGAATCTTCGCGCAACGGATATGCCGCCAAATTGCGTTCGCCTCGAGTGGGATATCGCCGGTTGGTGATGAGATTTTTTAAATTTAAGAATTAAATAATATAGTTACTGTACTATGCTTAGATATTATATGTAAAATGTTTATTATTTCAGCTGAATCCGGCTCGGACGGCTTTGAAGTCGAGTATGGGTCGAAGCAGAGCGAAAACGTTCATAAGGTGGCAAAGTTACAACTTTTGAATAGAAATCTTACTGTAGCTATTGAATTTAAAATTTAAATAATAAGATAGTGCTATTAATTAGATATTATGAATAGTATAAATATCGATCTCTTATGCTGAAAATCAATTTAGGGGTAGGCTAATTTCCGTCATTTTATTTGCGCAACTGGGTCTTTGCGCAACTCACCATAACTCTCTTTCAAGTGGACCAATCTTTATGATTTTTGGTGTCATTTTGTTGCACTTATTGAGATCTACAAAATGACACAAACATCATAAAGATTGGTCCACTTAAAAAAAAGTTATGGCGAGTCGCGCAAACGACCCTGTTGCGCAAAAAAAGTTGCGAAAACTAGCCTACCCCTCATTTTTTTTGCAATAATTTTTGCTGAAAGTACGGTAATTTCTTCCTAAGCGTCCTAAAAGTACGTTTTAAAGAAGGCTTTTAAAGAAGGCTTTTAAAGAAGGCTCTTAAAGAAGGCAAGGAGGAACACACTTTAGGACAAATCACCCATTACTTGGCCCATAAATCTCAATAAGTGCAACAAAATGACACCAAAATCATAAAGATTGATCCACTTGAAAGAAAGTTATGGCGAGTTGCGCAAATAAAATGGCGAAACTGGCTAAAATGGCTTACCCCTCAATTTAATGAGATATTCAGCTATCGGTGAGTGACGCGCACTCGTCACTTCTTTGCGACAGTATTCAGCCGGGTCGCCGTTTTCGTTTCAGTGTTATCACGAGAAAAGGTTGGTTTTATTTAATATTTATATTATTATTAGTATTATTTCGAATCGATTATAATCCTTTTATTAGTATATTATCTAAAAAAAAACTTTACAATACTGAGAATTTTTAGGGTTATCCCTTTCCTCCCCATCGGTCGTCTTGCACGATGTGAAACCACTAGCTCCATTGGATTTCAAGGTAATATTGAGACTAACTTAAATTAGCACTTACACTGCATTTAATTAGAAGCTTGCTATTTGTTTTGATTTTAAATTACCGTGGATTACGAAATCAAAATGGTTTACTGCCTTGCTATTAGTCAATTATTGCTTTACTCCAAGCTACAATACTCTTTAACTTCTAAATTTCTAAATTTTTAGGTGAAACCCGATCTAACGAAAGGTAAATACCGAGTAGAGACGCAACTCTCCGATTCGTCATTCTCTGATCATTGCCATCTCACTGTGATCTCCGAGTCGTTGACGAGAAGCGAAGTGGAAAGTCCGCTAGAGAACGGGGCTACTAGGTGAGATTTTCTTTACAAAATATTTAATATTCTTTACAAAGCAAAGAATATTAAATTCTTTGCTTACTATTAGAGAAATCGATATAGAAAACACCAATTGATTCTAACAATCTCTCTTGATCAGCTTTTAATCTGTTTTTTCGATTTTTCACTGAAAAAACTCAACTTACCCAGTTCTAGTTTACTTTAGTCATGCCTTCAGTCAATCATTTCAGTCATACTCTAGTTCTAGTTTACTTTAGAAGTCATAGATTAAAACTTTTCAACTTTTAAACATGATTTATGATAGATTAAATTATAACTTTTGTCATCGAAAGCTGTAATTTTTAGCTGTATTTTTTAGCTGTATCTTTTAGCTGTATCTTTTATCTACCGCTGACTCCGGGAGAGCGCTTTGAGTTTGCTGTTTCTTCCTCGTCGAATAATGTCCCAAGTACAAGACTCCAGAAAAGTATCGTTCTCGGTCCAGCTTTTGATATGAAAACTTTTGGATTGAATATTCAGGTTTGCGACTTTTTTTATTAAATAGTAATTTCCTCGATTTTCAGGAAACAAAATCTGGTCTTGAACTTCAATGGCCCCAAAGCGAGGTGTTTATGTCGAGGATGAAAGATATGTGGGCAAAGGTGGGGAAACTTTTTTCTAACAACGCGAACGCAAACGTTTAGATTGTCGGCTTTTCATCAGTGCTTCAACTAAGAGTGACGCCGTTGGATCGAAATCGCTCAAAAGAAAGAACACGACAATTCGAATCCGAACCATCAAAAGGACAACCGATTGTTGTGACTGGGTTGAGGAAAGGAGCGTGCTATCAGGTCAAATTTAAATAAACAAGTAAAAGTATTCACTGTAGACTGTAGGAGTGCTGTGGCTAGCTCAAGGGTACTTGGCTGCTTCAAAAATTATTGTTACTGCTGCTGGTAATTTGGCTGATTCCTTTACATCTCTAGTAAACTTATGCATCAATACAAGTTCACAAATTCAACTCAAAGAACTCTTCTATAGGTGCAAATCTACACAGTTACTCGAACGGGCATCGTCTCGGAAGCTCGATACAATGAGAGCATTCGAATGGCCGCTCCATCAATCAGCCTTCTCCTCGACACCGTCACGCATACATCGGGAACACTGAAGATTGATGCAAATCTAACGGTAAGTTAGACAGCTACTGCCAGAAGCTAGTGTACCTAGTGTAGTGGTGATTTGTACACTGAATTCAGTAATTTCAGTCTTATGCATTTCTTTAGGATCCATTGCACGGTGCTCCGAATCCAGACTGCCAGCTTTCAGTCACGGTCAATGACATGCATCAAATGGTTGTTTTCGATCGGTAAGTGGCAATTCATAAGCAGTAATATTTTTCTTTTAGCCGACTCCCACTGAGCTCCGACATGCCACCGTTGGAATTAACCGGATTGCGACCCTATCACAAGTACAATGTCAACTCACAGGTAAAGATTTAAAGAGTTTGAAGGATAAGCTTTAGATCTTTGTATTTGTATGTAAATTTGGTAAAACATAGAACTTCAGGTGATCTGCGGTGGGTCAACATCGACTCAATGTGCTCCATCGAGTCGAACGATGCGATCTCTCTCATTTTCGACGCGGCAAGACCGACCCGGACCTGTGCAAGCGCTTCAAGTGAAACCCCTAAACCCATATTCGGTTTGTTTTTAAAGATTGTAACAAGTTTCGTTTATGTTTATGCGAAAAATTTATCTAAAAAAAACTTTAGGTGCAACTCACCTGGCTCCCACCAGCACTCCCGAACGGAATCTTGACTCACTACGTTGTCGGTGTTCAGCCAACGGTTTGTGTTTTAGAGTTGTAAAATATATCTCTATAATCTCTATAATTTCATTCTAAGGCTTAATCGATTTGAGTTGATTTTAGGAAAGCACTCAAGAAGCATGGTCGGTGAATGTGGCGTTAACGAATAAACGAGCTGATCACACCGTGGAAGCGGTGATCGATGGATTGACCGGCGGAGAGACATACAAATTTGAGGTTAGGAGAAGAAACGCATTTAACATTTAAACGATTGTAAATTGCATTTAAACGATTGTAAATTGGTTGATTTTTTGGATTTTCAAAGCTTAACCAAAAACTCCGTCAAACTTCTTGATTAAAAAAAAGCTTTGGTTCAGGTTCGCGCTGTGACTGAGGCCGGCTCGGGCGATCCGCCTGCATCGAATGATTTGGCCACAATATCGATGCCAATCATGGGTTTACTATAAACATTATTTGAATTTAAAACTATTTTTTAGCTCCCCCAAAACCCCTCTCAACGCTGGACGTCGTTTTGGACACGATCAGCCCGCAAACGATGACCATTCGATACACCACACAAATGTTCGACTCGAAGAATGGACGAGTGACAAAGTGGGTTTACTAGGCGTTCTAAAGCATGTCACAGCTACCGTAACCCTTTATAATATTTATAATAAATTTATAACAAATTTATAACAAATTTATAACATAACTTTATAACATAACTTTATAAAGTCACACTTTTTAGATCAGCAATGATCGTGGCTGAAGTAACCGCTGATGGACGAGTGAGCGAGACATGGCTCTATGCTGAGAATAAAACCTATGTAAGTGTACTTTAGCAATTTACAGAAATCGATTTATGAGAAACATTTGAAAACTTGAAACTGACATATTTTCAGACATGGGTCGAGGTTCAGCGCTTCGACGTTTGGCCAGCCTACACGGCCACCGCAAACGAAGTGCCCATCACGAAGCGAGCCGCGCAAACACGCACGATTAGCGAGGTATTTGAGAAATTGAATCGCAATATATACATTTATTCGCACAAATAATGTGGTAAAACAATACACCAGCTCTAAAAGTAGGGAAAAAAGCCATATATACGAGAAAAAAAGGACCATTAATCTAGGCGGGATTGAACCCTTGACCTGGAGACTAAGATTCAAGGCTCTTAGCCAGTCGGTCATATGTCCAACGGGCATAATACAGATTTTATTATATCTGGCTTTTGATCTAACCGCTATCCAAGCTTACTCAAGCAGACTTTATCCACTTTTATTAGACCAAAGTTCTCATTGATGTGTTGAAAAGTTCATAGGAGATTCATAGGATTTGTTGAAAAGTTCATAGGGTAGGGAAGTGTCAATTTTGTCCCATTGATCCGAGTCATTCGAGTCATTTTAAAGTATTTTCATTGGGTATACTGTAGCTTTGTAGTTACAGTAAACCTTAGCCTTTTGATCATAAAAAAACTGATTGTTTTCAAACTTTAAGGTCCGCGATTTTTCAAAATCTAAAAATTTTGATAATTTAAATTCAAAGTTAAATCAAAAATTAAATATAAAACAAGTTCCCTGACAAAATTTTCTGTTTTTCAATATTTTGATTCTTCTTTACGTTAATCGAAAAGTTCCCAAATGTCATCAGAAAAAAAAGGCTGTGAATTACAGAGGAGAACCCATTCATTTTCGTTTCTTTTTCTGGAAATGAAAATGTTAAGCCAAAAGAGAAAAATGGAGGTGAAAAAGGAGAAAAAGGAGAAAAACGTGAAAATTCGGTGTGTTAAATGATCGTTTCTCTTCTTTTCCCCCATTGCTCAATGCTCATTTACGTCATTTTTGCGTGGTCAAAAGTCGACAAAATACTTTCAAGGCGTTTCAAGCCTCTCAACGCATTATATCATTGAAAAGTTCTCATTTCTTTAGTGTCATCTAATTGTACTTTGTGTTCGAAACAAACCCTTTCTAGCGCACTAAATTTCCCACTTGTTTATTTGGCAATAACCTGATTGTGAAGCTGAGAATTTTTGATTTAAAACTTGAGCTGAATTGTATGAAATGAAATGGAATGGAATCCTTTTAGCTTTCTAAATCGCATTTATTTTCGAAAACTACTGTAGTCAAATTGTTAGTTTTCGTCAGATCAGCAAAATTTTGACTGAGGCTTGTAATTCTTTATCGAATCATTTTCAAAATTTGGCTAATTCAATGAAAAATAACAATTTGACTACCGTAGTTTTCGAAAATAAATGTCTTTTAGACAATGCTTGACAAGGCTTACTGTAGCTATGTATATGCAAAGCTAAATGATACAAAAATAACGACTTAAAGTCAAACTCCAAAGTTAAAACCTAAATTTGGTCCGAGCTCGTCCTTGAGCCCGTTATAATGCCACTTTGCCTCCCAAACCCTCGTTCCTCGGTAGTATAGTGGTTAGTATCCGCGTCTGTCACATGCGAGACCCGGGTTCAATTCCCGGCCGGGGAGAAAGTTTTCGCACTTTTATATTCCTTTTGCATAAAACTCATTTAAATTGAAACAAGCTGAGATTTTAATGGAAAACTTGATTTACAAGCTATGATAATACTTGAAATGCAATTTTGTCCCCAGGCAAGAACTAGATTTGACGTCAATCCATCCCTTGCCACGTCGTGAAACAAAACAGAAAACAAAATCATCATCATTTTAGTTAAAACAAACACTTTCGAGCTTTCTCTTTTCTTTTTTTTCTACTCAAATTCGATAAACAAATATACGAATTGAAGAGGGAAAGACTTTTGAAAAAAAATTAATTGTTTGTGTATACAAAATGACGTTTTTTTTGTCGAAGGCTAGTGGAACACAAGAAAAAAAAATGACGTTTTTAATAAGTTGAAATTTCTTTTTTTTTTTCCTTTTCCCCTGGGTTTCCTCAAAAAATTTACGTAAATTTTCCCTTTATGAGGAACGAAATAAGGCTGTTCAAACAAAGATTAGAAAAAAAAAACAAAAAATTTCTAGCAGCAGCAGCAAAATGTAGGCAATCGCTTTTCAGTGTAGAATCCATTGGTATTTTAGGTTTGAAAATTGGATTTTTGATTGATTTTTAGGAGTTTTACTTGATTTTATTATAAATAGATCAGCGGAAAACGCTCAGTAATGTTCGCGTTTTCCGATGGAGAGGTTCGCGTTTTCCACGCGACCCAAGCCCCCCCCATCCCTTTTTGCCAATGGCTGACGACGACAGACGTCTCTTCTGCTTTATATATAGTAGATTGCTTTTATTCAAAATTAGTGACCCAATGATGGCTAGGGTTGACTCAAATAGTGCATTTTCTGGACTAATTGTAATCTGAAATCTCTACTGTTTCTTTTTCTTACTCCTTAAAGGCCTAGGATTAGGCTTAGGACTAGGTTAGGGCAAGAATTTAGGCAGATCCAGTGATCTGGCCTGGCTCAAATTTTTGGAATAGTAAAGAAGTAAGAAAAGAAAGTAAGCAGTGGCAAAACTTCCGAAGAGGGGATTGAACCTCCGACCTTTCTTGCTCCCTTCTCGCTTCCGGTCAGATGCTCTAACCACTGAGCCATCCCGCATCATTTTGCCCGGGGAAGAAAGAGGAAATATAAGGGAGAAGAGAAGGAAATAAGGTCAAAGTTTGGCTAGATCTGTTCTTATGAAAGAATTACTTCTAAAAAAGCTCAACTGACAACATTCACTTTTTGTTTCGTTTTGTTTTATTTTATTTTAGTTCTTCTTTCAAGAAAACTCTAGCATTCAAGTTCTATATAAAAACTTCTCAATTTTATAGCAATAGGCTTTGATTTGAATTCTCTGTGCTTCTATCTTTCAATTCGATGCTTTTTTTTAGGTGATCGGCTCGAATCCGAACTGTCGTGATCTTCCGGCGGACGTTGTGTGCAACGGTCCGCTTAAACCGGGCACCGCCTACAAGTTCAAATTGCGCATTTTCACCGCACCAAATCTCTGGACCGACACCGATTACAGTCCGATTGTGCAAACCGGTGAGTTTATTTGTTTTTTTCTAAAGGATTTTAACGACAAATCTGTTATCAGATCTTGTTAGATCTGCTCTTAAATCTGCTCTTAAGTCTTAAAGGTATAAACTACTAGTTTAGAGATCTAGATTTTATTTTAGAGATCTGGATTTTATGTTAGAGATCTAGATTTTATGTTAGAGATCTAGATTTGATTTTAGAGATCTGGATTTCATGCTAGAGATCTAGATTTCATGTTAGAGATCTAGATTTCATGCTAGAGATCTAGATTTCATGCTAGAGATCTAGATTTTATGTTAGAGATCTAGATTTGATTTTAGAGATCTAGATTCTAGAATCCTTTATTTTGACTTCTTATCTTTTCTTTCTCCCTTTCCAACTTTTCCAATACAGTATGAAAAGCTGTAAATCAAAAACAAATTCATAAACAAATCCAGAAATCCAAAACGTGCCATTTTAGCAAAAAATTTTTCGAATTCATTATTATTTGTCGGATTTTGTTCTCTGTAACTACAAAAATCTCCTTTTTTTTGCGTTATTTTCTCTAATATTCAGTAAACAATTAAGCTATTTTTACTTATTTTCCCCTCGATTTTCCTTACAGAATCCCTTAATCCTCGATTTTTTTTTCAGTCGCTCAATTATCAATTTTATTAAAAGCAAAAGAATTTGAGGAAATCCTTCTTTTCAAGTTTTTTTTTGGAGTCTTTCTAAAGTTGAAAAGGTTGCAATTACATTTGAGGTACAGGATTTAGTTTTTTCAATGAGGAAATTCTGATAATCTTTTTATACTTTTGAATTTATATTATGCAAATTCAAGAATTCTGGATATGTTTCATTCAGTGAATTTAGTCAACAGTTTTCACTGTTGTCTACTAGTTTTCACTGTTGTCTACTGTCTACTAGTTTTCACTGTTGTCTACTGTCTACTAGTTTTCACAGTTAACAGTCTTGTTACTACTAGTTTTCTTGAAACTATGATAGTTTTCGAAACGACGTTAATTTTCTTAGAACGTAGCAACGGGATTACGGTACCTTTCTTGGAACTACGATAGTTTTTCGAACGCTAGTTTTTAGTTTTAGTTTTAGCAATAAGGAAATTCTGATAACCTTTTTATACTTTTGAATTTATATTATGCAAATTCAAGAATCTGGATCCATTCAGCGAATTTAGTCAACACATTACTAGTTTTCACAGTTAACAGTCAAGCTAACAGTCGTACTACTAGTTTTCTTGGAACTATGATAGTTTTCGAAACGACGTTAGTTTTCTTAGAACTACGTAGCAACGGGATTACGGTAGCTTTCTTGGAACTACGATAATTTTTCGAATGCTAGCTTTTTCAAAAGGATTCTCTTAGGAAACGCTTAAATAGAAACAAAAGAACAGCTAGTTTTAGATAGAATTTCAATTATTAACTAATAAACTATCGCTAACTTTAGTTATATTATATAGATTTATTTACAACCAAGATAATTACAACTTAGATAGTATAATGCCACTTTGCCTCCGAAAGCCTCGTTCCTCGGTAGTATAGTGGTTAGTATCCGCGTCTGTCATATGCGAGAGCCGGGTTCAATTCCTAATTCAATGAAAACTTCAATTCCTAATTCAAAATTTGGCTAATTCAATGAAAACTAACAATTTGACTACAAATTGACTTCGAAAATAAATGTCTTTTAGACAACGCTTGACAAGGCTTACTGTAGCTATGTATATGCAAAGCTAAATGATACAAAAATAACGACTTAAAGTCAAACTCCAAAGTTAAAACCTAAATTTGGTCCGAGCTCGTCCTTGAGCCCGTTATAATGCCACTTTGCCTCCCAAACCCTCGTTCCTCGGTAGTATAGTGGTTAGTATCCGCGTCTGTCACATGCGAGACCCGGGTTCAATTCCCGGCCGGGGAGAAAGTTTTCGCACTTTTATATTCCTTTTACATAAAACTCATTTAAATTGAAACAAGCTGAGATTTTAAAGGAAAACTTGATTTACAAGCTATGATAATACTTGAAATGCAATTTTACCCGGATCCCTTGATTTGAGTTTAAGTTCAACATTTCAACATCCTTCAACTCCAGTTTTACTCACGATTCATATCACATTCTATAGTTTTTGTTGTTCTTTAGTTACTCTTGCAATGAGTCTAGTGTTGTCGCATTGATCTCTTTCAATTGTTGTTCAAGAATAGCTACAAGGAGCTGGAGATGGAAAGGGGAAACAGCTGATCTCATATCTTGAACTCTTATTTTGCAAAGAGAGAAATGCCAACAGCAGGACACTGATCTCAATCAAACAACCACCCCCATCTTTTTCGAAATTTCAAATGTGAAACTGATCGGTTCAAATGATTGCCCGCTTCCGGTCAATCTTCTTTCTTCAAACTTTCGTTCTCATATCAATTGTTAAATCTTTTCTTTTTATTCCTTTTTTCTTTTGTAGATGTTAAGATAAAGTTTATATATAAAACTAAAAATAATATTATTTAAATCCTTAAATTTTAAAAGCTTGTACCTGCAGTTTTCAAAAGACTCTCAAACGATTAGATTAAGACTTTTCAATACTGTAGCTAGTATTGTAGTGTTGAAGATCTTAATGTTTAAAGATTTTTATAGATTTTGATAGATTTTATCTATCTAACATTTATCTACACATGAAAATACCCTATTCTAACTTGATTTTTTTTGATTCTAACTAACATTTTAATTTACTTCTTGACATTTTTAACCTCAACAGATTAATTTGCTTTCTTTTGTTGAGTTCTCGATTCAACTGTAAACAATTTCAAGGGATTAGACTCAATTTTTCAATTAAGTAATTGCAAGATCATCAAATCAATAGGCAAAAAAAAAAAGAATACTAGAGAAAATACTAAAGAAAATCTCTTATATTGTTATATAAAATTCAGAAATTCTCTTTGATCAGAAACTCTTGTTCAGAAAAACTCTTGGAAAAGTTAGCGGCTCTTTAATTTCACCATTTCGTTTAAAATAAGCATATTTTTGTTGAAAAGAGTTGATTTTTTTCTAGGTTTTCTAGGTTTTCTAGGTTTTTCTAGGGTTTTCTAGGTTTTCTTTGACGTTTTTAAACGTTTTCGTGATGTGCCCCGGGAGGGGAAAGGGTCAATGGAGCCTCCTATTGCCTTGACTTCCGGTGTGTAAACATCCCTGTTCCCCTTGATCTTCTTTACCTCTTTCCCCCCCCCCTTTCTCCATCTTTCCATTCATTAACCTCTCACCTCTACAAGTTTTCTTTTTTGGATTTCTTAGCATCATAACTTTAACCAATTCTAAGCTTTTGCATAAAACAACGACTACTTTAGTCTCTTTTTTGTTGGAATGGCGACTACACTTGGCTCTTATAGTTCTAAAATATGCTCTATAAACTACTGGGCTTAGTTAACAAGTTTTTTATCTTTTATCTTTGTCGTTTTGATTGAAAATCAACTCTAGTAAAAGGCTAGAGTCGAAATTTTTTTAGATCTCGTAAAATTTACGATTTACACTACTGGACAATGAAATATCATATTTGAAAAACGATCGTCACTTTCGCGCGTCTGTAACTCCATTGTCTTTGAGTTTAAACTATTAGTGTTATACATTTTCTGAAAGCTCTTTTCAAGGGCTACACAATGGTAATATTAATATTTAGAAATACGATAAAGACAAGGAAGTTACAGATGTGCGAAAGTGACGATCTTTTTTCAAATATGATATTTCATTGTCCAGTAGTGTACATCCAAAAATTCGCAATCTTTAGCGAATAATTTCTTTAAAAATTTGAAATTTTGTTAGTTTTTTTGGTTTTTTTGGAAACTAGATCCAATTCTACATATATAAAAATGATTTTGATTGGATAGAAAGGATCGATTTCGATTTTGATCGGCTAGAAAAGCTTGGTAGTGAGTGATCAAAGTTTAGAATTCTTTTGGTGACTCGTCTTTCATCTAATCTAAATAATTTCATATGTACAAACGTAGAAATTGAGATAGTTTCTTAAAAAACGAATAGCTAGAATAACTTTTTAAGTTTTAAAGAAGTTTTTCGTTAAGATTGCGAATTTTGGAGTGAAATTTTAGAAGTTCTAAGACCTGGACTTTTAGAAGTTCTAAGACCGGGCTCAGGATTAGGCGAAAAGTCTGGTTTTTCCCTTGTCAGCAAAAATCCCTGGCATCTAAAGGATTCGTGCGTCTTGCACAAAAAACGATCAAGATTCATTTCAAGATCAAATAACTAAATCTTCTTCTACCTTGACAAAATCTAACACTTTTTTTTTCTGAGATCAACTTGTTTCTTCTAATTTTCTTCTATTCGTTTGTTTTTCCATTTTCTTATCGTTTTTTGGTTAAAAGTAGGGTAATTGAAGATGAAAATGATTTCATTTTCTTCTCATTTCTTTTTTTCTTCTTCTTCTTTTTTTTCTTCTTCTTCTTCTTCTTCTTCTTCTTCTTCTTCTTCTTCTTCTTCTTCTTCTTCTTCTTCTTCTTCTTCTTCTTCTTCTTCTTCTTCTTCTTCTTCTTCTTCTTCTTCTTCTTCTTCTTCTTCTTCTTCTTCTTCTTCTTCTTCTTCTTCTTCTCCTCTCTTTCCCCCCCCTCCTCCTCCTCCTCCTCCTTCTCCTCCTCCTTCATAATCTCACCTCAATCAACGAGTTTTTTTTTCATTTTTCACAAAATTTGTCGTTTAATCAGAAAACGAATGAAAATGGTGGTTAAATGCTAATTTTTACATTGCATTCTTTTTCTTTCAAGTCCATCCCCAGTCATTTTTTTCTTTCAGTCAATTTTTCTGTCCAAAGCATCTTTTCGCAAAATCTGTTTCTCTGTAAGCCGATTTTTGACGTTTCTATTCAGAAAAACGATAAATCCGGGTATTTTCTCCCATTTTTGGCGAAAAATCCGCACATTTTCTATGAAATAATCTCCTCGAAAACATCGAAAATCCCTCGAAAAAGAGAAGAGGGGAAAAAAGGCTTATGAATGAATTTTTCGATAAATCTTTCTGACTACGTAATCACTCCCCAATTTTTGTACTTGAACAATAAAAATGCAAAATTGAATGACTTTTTGAACTTTTGCAATCGGAAAACCTTTGTGAATGGAGATTTGATCTTTAGTCACTTAAATTTTTTCTTAAATTCATCTAAAATGATAAGAGTTGAGTGCACCAGAAAGCTGTGTTTAAGCGCACAAAGTTCACCAAAGTGACACTGTTAACCATCGAGATAGGGAACCAAATTTAGAGAGATAGGGAACCAAATTTAAAGAGATAGGGAATCGTGTACTTTGTGCTCAAAAGTTTTAAACGAACTCTTTCTGGTGCGCTGTTCTTTCAGAAACACAGAAACCTTGAAGGGTTTGTTCACTCATTTTTGAGCACAAAGTACACGATGGTTAAGAGTGTCAAAGGTGACACTTTGTGCGCGTAAACACAGCTTTCTGGTGCTTAAACAGACTTGAGCGAATCCAAAAAGTGCTTTCACTGAAAAAGTTCTATAGTTTTTGATTTCAAAACTCAATTTGAATGGAAATTTTGCAATTTGCGAAAAAAGTTGACGAAAAATTGGGTAAAAATCGAATTCCCCGTTTTCCATAAGAATTCGCTTTTCAGTAAAGAGGGGGTTTTTCGGGATCCACTTTACTTTTTTCGCGTTTATCTCTGGGATTGAAGATTTCTCTAGGGAACAAGGTGAGCTAAAGACCAAAGACGGACACCCACGCCTTCTTGGAGAAATTGCAGCTTTGATAACTTTGTGATAAAGCACTTTTCTCGTCACTTTCCCAATACAAATCCTTTAAAAATTTGGTAGTTCCTTAAAAAAGTTCCTTTAAAGCTCCTCTATAGTTCCTATTTAGTTCCTTTAAAGCTCCCTTAAAGCTCCCTTAAAGCTCCTTTAAAGCTCCCTTAAAGCTCCCTTAAAGCTCCTTTATAGTTCCTTCATAGTTCCTATTTAGTTCCTTTAAAGCTCCCTTAAAGCTCCCTTTAAAGCTCCTTTAAAGCTCCTTTAAAGCTCCTTTAAAGCTCCTTTAAAGCTCCTTTAAAGCTCCTTTAAAGCTCCTTTAAAGCTCCTTTAAAGCTCCTTTAAAGCTCCTTTATAGTTCCTTCATAGTTCCTTCATAGTTCCTATTTAGTTCCTTTAAAGCTCCCTTTAAAGCTCCTTTATAGTTCCTTCATAGTTCCTATTTAGTTCCTTTAAGGCTTCTTTAAAGCTTCTGGGCTTTAATGCTGAGCCAAGAAACAGCAAAATTTAAGGCAATAATTGAGCGCAGAAATTCGGGCATAGTGACGTCCCAAACCCCTCACTCGCTCACCGGTCGTTTCTGTTCACTGCATAGATACCCGGTCAAAAGAGAGCCCGGTATCTATCCAGCATATGTGCCAGATTGAGAGCGATTGTGTGCGCGCACAAAGAACACCCCCAGTCTGAAGTTCAAGCTTCAACGACCTTTTTTGGCACATCAAGTTCTCTATTGTCATTAAGTTTTCGAAAAAAAGGACTCAATTTGTCGTTGTTAAAATCGATGATTGGTGATGGTTTAGTCACGAGAAAATGGGCAAAATTAGCGTTTTTTTCTCGATGAGCTTCTTGAACTCTGCTTTTCGTCAAAACATTTTCCCTCATTTTGCAACCAGAAAACCCCTAATTTTTCATTCTTTCTCACGTCTATTTTAGAGCACTTTTCATAGAACTTGCAGAGCTGTGAAATTGGTATCTATAGCCACCAAATTGAACCTAATAATTTAGCTTTTTGAAAGAAAATTACCCATTCAAATAGCTAAATGCTTTCGATTAAATGACCAAATTACTCAATTTTTAGATTAGATTAGAATACTTGAGATTAAATGAACAAATTCACTTATCCAAGAGTAGTTTTGTCAGTTCATAAAACGATTTGCTTCAGCGCTAACAAAAACTCTAAAGCTGAGCCAAGCTCTAAAGAGCGGATTTTACCAAAAATTTGCCATGTCCTGGCTCCTGGATGGCCAGCTTTTGACCAGGCTTCTAGCTGATTTGTTTAGTTTTTTTGAGTCAACCCAGCAGTAAAGCCATTCTTGAAGTACCCTGGTTGATCTAGATTTAGAGCCAAGTCCAAGAACAAGTTCTGGATCAGGTTCTGGGACGGTTCTTCAACCAGGTCCAAAGCCAAGACTTGATCTAGGTCCAGATCCAAATCCAAGCCTTGGTTTAGCTTCAGATCAAAGGCCAAGGACTTTGTTTAGGTTCAGGTCCAAGGCTAAGACCTGGTTTAAGTCCAGGTCCCAGGCTAAGACCTAGTTTAAGTCCAGATCAAAGGCCAAGGACTTTGTTTAGGTCCAGATCAAAGGCCAAGGACTTTGTTTAGGTTCAGGTCCATGGCTAAGACCTGGTTTAAGTCCAGGTCGCAGGCTAAGACCTGGTTTAGCTCCAGATCAAAGGCCAAGGACTTTGTTTAGGTCCAGGTCCAAGGCTAAGACCTGGTTTAAGTCCAGGTACAGAGAGTCTTGGACTAGATCATGGACTAGATCTAGCTCTAATCGCTCTAGTAACAGATCCTGATCGTGACTTTTTTAGCTAACTCAGGTGTTTTTAAGCCAAAGCAATGTATACTTTCCAAATTTTGAAAACTCTTTTCTATCATTTCGATGAAAAACACTCTAGCTAGACCCATCAATGTTTGAGATGGCCGTCAAAAAGATTGATATCATCACCCCAATTGTTTGCTCGCGACACTTCCCCCTGAAAGCGCAAAGATCTAGTTCATCATTTGCCATCTCGTCATCGAGCTCTTACGTCTTTTTTTCATATGATATTATGAAACTTTATCTAATAGTTATCGCTTTACAAAGTAAAGCGATAACTATTAGATAAAGTAATAAAGCGTTATGGATAAAGTTATTGAATTCTATTTTACTAGAATTCGTTCCTCTTGATCAATAGATTTCAAGAAAATACAAAAATCTCCAGGGTATTTCCTTCTTTCTTTCTTTCTTTCTTTCTTTCTTTCTTTCTTAATAGGAACCGTATTAGATCAAAATAGGAACCGTATTGCAACCGTATTGGAACCGTTTTGCAACCGTTTTAGATCAAAATAGGAACCGTATTGGAATTTTATTTCGTATTTCTCCGTATTTCTTTCTTTCTCATGGCAATTTAAGCTACCAGATAACTCAGTGTTTAGAGCAGTGGTTACAGGAAAAGGTCGAGGGTTCAATCCCAGACTTTTTCTTGCCAATTCCTTTCTTTATTACCAATGACACATAGATTTAAGTTGTGAGATCATTTGTCGCTGTGTGATTGAAAACTTTAAGCTTGATATTGCCAAGCTGTTATTCGATTTTGCTACGATTTTGATACGATTTTGATACGATTTTGATACGATTTTCAATCGATTTCCATTTCTAGAACCTCTCCCCTCGGGCATTTCGACTCGTCTCATTGTGTGGACTCTGTCAGCTCTCGTCATCGTCGGACTCCTTTGCGCGCTTTGTCTCGCTATTTGGAATCGAAACAAGAGCAAACGGTTTGTTAAATTTTATAATAAACCTATAGTGAAATGTGAAATGAAGTGAAAAAGTGAAAAGTGAAATGAAAAAATCGAAATCATTTTAGAATTATGAAAAATTTTTTAAATCATTTGTTTTTTCATATTTTAATTCAAGAAAAGTACTCTTTTTGTACAGTTTTTCAAGTAATAAACGAAAATTAGAGTATTACCGTATTTCTTCGAATAGACGACCGGGTAAAGAGTAAAGGTAAAGCCATTAAAGCTGTTAAACTACCAGATTCTAGTGATTAAAGGCATTAAAGCTGTCAAACTATCAGTTAAACTACCAGATTCTAGTGATTAAAGCCATTAAAGCTGTTAAACTATCAGTTAAACTACCAGATTCTAGTGACTAAAGCCATTAAAGCTGTTATCATCGCGTACTCCTGCGTAGCAGCCCTTTTTAAAATTTCTTTTCTGCATAAAAGCTTTCAATCAAGTGCTATAGAGCTGGAAAATGGCTCAAAAATCTGTTAGCTCACGTCATATTTTTGAGTCATTTTCCAGCCCTATAGCACTTGATTGAAAGCTTTTATGCAGAAAAGAAATTTTTAAAAGGGCTGCTACGCAAGAGTACGCGATGATAACAGCTTTAATGGCTTTAATGACTAGAATCTGGTAGTTTAACTGATAGTTTAACAGCTTTAATGCCTTTAATCACTAGAATCTGGTACATTGCTACGCAGGAGTACGCGATGATACTCTTTTCCCGGTCTTCTATTCGAAGAAATACGGTATAAAGTTTTAAAAATGATTCATGATTTGAAAAGTTTCAAATGGTCAACAGCAAATGGTCAACAAAGGGCTTATGCTGTTTCTACAAATTTTTGAACTTTGTTCACTCATTTCTCAGAGCTCCAAATACGAGATCTCTATGAAAAGGGCATGAAAATGTTTTTTTGAAAAGATGAAAAAGATTAAAAAGGAGACTAGGCACGCAAAGATTTCTGAAGAAGAAAGAGAAAAGGGAAAGAAGGGAGAAAGGACTTCTCTTTGGATTGGCCTGGGGGATTTTCATTGAGCAAAGGGAAATGGATCCTTTTCTCTGCCTCACTCTTTTTCTTCTACTTGATGCTCTTCGAATCCCACCCACTCGCCCCTTTTTCTAAAGCTCGTTTAGACTTCTCAATTCTTCTCGCATTCCTAAGTAGGCTTTAAACGCTCTTTCTTTAGCTTTATTTATCCATTTTCATTTTCATATATCAAATCCAATCAAATTTCTTTTTTTAAAGTGGAAGTTAAAAAGTTAAGTTAGAAACTAAGTTAAAAAGTTTCTTTCTAAGTTCTAAGTTAAAAATCAAAGATCACAGCTGAAATCCGAGTGCAAATGATCGTTAAACGAGTTGCAACGATCATTAAACGAGTTATGAATGCATATTGTGTCATCGAGCCGACTTTAAGCCATGAAATTTGCATATACAAAACATCAACAGGTTTTCATTGCCAACATTTAAACGAGATTCTAGTGATTAAAGCCATTAAAGCTGTTAAACTACCAAATTCTAGTCATTAAAGCCATTAAAGCTAAAGCTAAGCTTCTCTTCAATGTTTTAAGCAGTAAAGTTAGTTTTTTAAAGAAGCTTAGCTTTTGATCAAGATAAAAATCTTTAATCCATAAGATTTGCATATACAAAACATCAACAAGTTTTCATTGCCAACATTTAAACGAGATTCTAGTGATTAAAGCCATTAAAGCTGTTTGAATGGCTTTAATCACTATCACAATCACTAAAGATGAAAGCTAAACTTCTGATACGAATTGTTGATGAGTTTTGTCTAAAAAAGCTTCTCTTAAAACTTCTCTTACTGAATAAAGCAATGAAAAGTTCAGATTGTTCATTGTTTTTCATCATTTCTTTGCCCTTTTCAAGAAGGGATCCAAAATGAGGCCCCATTTTCTTTTCTCTTCTTCAGATTCGAGAATGCAAAATGTCGTGTGTGGGTCTTTTTCTCATTTCCCTCTTTCAATTTTTCTTCTCTTTTTTTTCTTTTTCCTTTTCCTTTTTCCTTTTCCTTTCTCCTTTTTCCTTTTTCCTTTTTCCTTTCTCCTTTTTCATTCCCACCCCCGCTTCATCTCTTCTTTTCTTCATTCAAAAGCTTGTTTTTTTTTGCCTTTGTTTAGTTTCAGTTTTTTAGTTTCAGGCCAGAAATTTGAGCTCTTCAGAAAAATTTAGCATTCGATTCTATGACTCAAGTACAACTATGAAACTTAAAAATTTCGCATAAAGTACATAGAATAGAACATAGAATATGTTGGGGAAAAATCTTGAATAGCAATGAACCAATCAAGTTCAAGGGTAGCTCTTGCAAGCTCTTGCATGCTCTTGTAAGCTCTTGTAAGCTCTTGCAAGCTCTTGCAAGCTCTTGCAACCCTTTCCCCCCGGGCAAACCTCTTGAAAAATGGGTTTTTTTTGTCTAGCTACCGTAATCCTGTGTTTTTTAAAACGTACACTTTCGAAAGCTATCGTAATCTTGTCTCTAGTTTTATCAACTCTTTTATCAAATTCTGTCTCTAGTTTTATCAAATCGATTCACTTCTGTAAAGGTTCATAAAAGTAAATGGATATCATAAAATACAAATATTACATTAAAGATTAAATAAATTTGATCAAAACTACAGAGAAGATTACGGTGATTTTTAAAAGTTCGCGAGAAAACTGAACGAAAAAAAACTTCTCTCCGACAGTCTTTCAAAAGTAAAAAAGGCTTGAAAATGAGAAAAATAGAGTCCAAGATCATTGGATTACATTGGATTAGCATTGTTAGAAAAATGATGACTTATTTATACTGGATTTATCTCTATTTTCATCATTTTGTTATGCATCGTTTATGAAAGGATGCGTGGTAGACCTCGTGCCTCCGCCTCTCATCTGACTCAAAATGATCCCCTTCTTCTTCTTCTTCTTCTACTTCTTCTTCTTCTTCTTCCTTCTACTTCTTCCTTCTTCTACTTCTTCCATCTTCTACTTTTTCCTTCTCCTTCTCCTTCTTCTTCTACTTTTTCCTTCATCTACTTCTTCCTCCATCTACTTCTTCTTTCTTCTTCACCTTCTTCTTCTCCTTCTTCTTCTTCTCCTTCTTCTCCATCTTCTCCATCTTCTACTTCTTCTTCTACCTCTTCCTTCTTCTTCTCCTTCTTCTTCTCCTTCTTCTTCTCCTTCTTCTTCTCCTTCTCCTTCTTCTTCTCCTTCTTCTCCTTCTCCTTCTCCTTCATTATCTATACATCAAACTGACTTCTTCTTTCAAAAAAGAATCCCATTAACACCAATTTCTCAATTCCATAGAATTACGTGCAAGAATTCCCTTCATAAGCTTAAAAATCTATTCGAATGAGGATATGAAATGACGAAAAGTGGCCAAAAAGACTTATTTTCGTATTTTCTGAATATATTTATCTGTTCTCTTTTCGGAAAAACTCAAAAATTCGATTAAGCGAGGGTGTTGATGAAATTTTCGGATGTAAATTTGACCTCAATATGCTCATTTTTTAATAGATTTACGCAAGAGCTTTTTTTCCGAAAGTTCAGCATTGAATCAAATTCCTCGAATGTTCAAATACCCAATTTTTTTCGTCATTTCATTAGGCGGTGGTGACGAAAAAAAGGCACAAAAATGAAATGAACTTGTTTTCTGTTTTCACGATGTCGAAATTGATCCCAATTCCAATTTTGACACAATTACGGTAGCAAAAGTTACCGTAATTCTGTCAAAAACTACCGTAATCCTGTCCTCGTTTTGTCTGCTTCTGTCTGGATGAGTTTTTAAAGCTTTTTTTAAAGCTTTTCAAAACCAACGTAACCGTGCCTCGAGTTTTCGAATCCATCGACTTTTATCTTTCGATCTTTGTTTCTTTCGCTACCCTCACAGAATCTAATAAAGCACTCAAAGAATAAAGCAGACAGATTACAGAGAAACTAGAGCTAAGATTACAGAGAAACTAGAGCCAAGATTACAGAGAAACTAGAGCTAAGATTACAGAGAAACTAGAGCCAAGATTACAGAGAAACTAGAGCTAAGATTACAGAGAAACTAGAGCCAAGATTACAGAGAAATAGAGCTAAGATTACAGAGAAATTAGAGCTAAGATTACGATAGTTTTTCGAAAGCTGACGCAAAAAGAACGCATTCAGCAATTAAACTCAACAAAAGATGAGAAATCCTAAATTTCTTCTCAATTTTTTTCTCAAATTTCTTCCCAAATTACCCAACTACAATATCACTAATTCGAATGTGTTTATTAGAAAAAGATTTTCATTTCTTTCCACTTATGATCTTGTAATAATGTGCTTGTACTTCATTCGAGAAATCATAGATCATAGATTTTCTTGAGTCATTTAAACAATCAGAATTTGGTGAAACTTGAGAGAAATGTATTGCACGCACGGAAAACTAACGAAACGTGAAAACAGCCATTTTTTTGACTCTAGGGGTTTTATTTGACGCTGATCACGAAACACATGTTTTTAGCCTAGGCTTCTGCACGGAAAACTAACAAAACGTGAAAACAGCCATTTTTGTGACTCTGCCGCCCTTTACTAAAATAGCTGTAAAAACTTTTAGAGAAGAGATATCTCAAAACGGTTTTTACCAATCGATCCGTATTGAATTCAGCTTTAGGATGAGCTATAAAACGTCAAAATTCGACAAATTTAAGGTACTCTCCCAAAAAATCCGAAAGGACTTTTCCACCAACCCAATAGAAGTTGAACTGAACTAGAAATGAAGTCATTTGACTTTCAATGAAGCTATTGATAATTGCTATTGATAATTGCAATTATCATTGCTATTTGCTATTGATAATTGCTCAACTTTGCATATTGCATCAACTGCTTAAACTTTATGTAATAGATTATCTTACTCATTATCTTTACCTTACTGATTTTGGCACTAGACTGACTGGTATTATTGTTGAGTACTGTAGATCTATAACATTTATACTATAAGTTTAAGACTACAATAGATCTCTAGACTACTGT